CTTGCAACAATCCTGTAAGTTAATCCAGTATTATCATCTCCCATGCTGCAAATGAGGGTCCTGAGCCTGAGAGAGAACTGCTTGCCTGCAGCTACCTAGTGAGTTCGTGGCAAAGGCAAGATTCGAACTGTGAACGTGCCAATTCACAGCCCGGTCTCTTTAGTCAGTATGTTACACCAGTGTTCTGGGATTGTTTTGTGCAGAGACACTTCTTTTGGCCATGAGGACTGAAACGCAGCATGATCAAGGAAATGATACTGTTTTCAGGGTGGGGGGGGGTTGCCATTCTTTTGGCTTCCGACAAAAGCAGGGGGGAAATACCAAACAGCCATACTACAATACTATGGGTCCATAGGTGTTTAGAAGCAGAGAAACAGCTACTGGTTTGCAAGAAAAGAATTATTAGCTGGCTTATGGGAGATACAGTGGTACCTCGGGTTAAGTACTTAATTCGTTCTGGAGGTCCGTTCTTAACCTGAAACTGTTCTTAACCCGAAGCACCACTTTAGCTAATGGGGCCTCCCGCTGTTGCTGTGCCGCCGGAGCACGATTTCTGTTCTCATCCTGAAGCAAAGTTCTTAACCCGAGGTACTATTTCTGGGTTAGCGGAGTCTGTAACCTGAAGCGTATGTAACCCGAGGTACCACTGCAGTTCCCAAACTACCAGGGTTCCTATCTGCAAACCCAAACCTTAGTGCTTGGTGGCAGAGGGACTCAGGAGCGGTGGCGGTTTCACTTGCTATATACCGTTGGGTGAAGCCGACATCACGGTCTGGCCATCATACCGGTCCTGGGTGATGTATCGATACACCGCCCAGGCTTAGTCCTATCAGTGCAAAGAAGAACCCCCTGGCTGTTTCAGCTCTGACCTCTTTACCATCACTATTTGGGTTATTCAAAGGCCACCATGACCCCCATGTCTCCCAAAATAACAGCATTTTCTTTGTTTTGTGTTTCCCCCTGTATCATGATGGGATCAATGACCTGCCTAGGAAGCTGTCAATCTTGCTGGAGATGACTACCTCTCTTTTGGCTTGCTTCAATCTCTGACTCACCCTTTGAATGTGTGAATAAGCTAGAAGCTGAATTGAGTTCAGAGGTTGTTATCCCAGGGTAGTAACGCATTGTTCAGAGATACCTTTTCTCTGCGACAGCCATTAGTTGCGTGTGGCTTAGTGAGTGTTCAGGCGACACAGGCAGCCCGTAGCATGTGGCCTCGCAGCTCATGAAGGGGTCGCGACTCATAATTTCAAGGATTTGGCACCGTGTCCTAATCTGCAGCCCCTGAACACAGAGAAGGGAGGCTTTGCTTAGCAATAAATAGCATAATAATTGAATTCAGCTTGGAACATCTTTTGTGCATATTAGGACTGCTTTGTTATTTATAGTTTTGAATTCCAACGAGGCTAAATTTAAAATATATTGGTAGTAAGTATAGTTCCTCTCCAAGTTAGAGCAACGAACTGGAGACCGAAAAAGGAAATGTCACAGGGATGCCTGCCTTTAACTAGATCCATCCCTACCATTTCATCACTGGTTTCCCAGTTTAGGTTGAACTTGATGTTTAGTGTGCCCATGCCACTAGGACTGAAAAACAGAAATATCGCCTTTTCTGTTTTGTGCTAAGCAAGTTTACATATAATTCACCACCACCACTAGTTGGCTCCAGCCTTCAGTTAAACCCACTAGTATTTTCTTTTCAGCAAGAAGAAATAGTGCAGCTATAACCCAGATTATGCCTCAGAATGCAAGGTTTCTTTCCTGTAATATAAAAAATTGTAAAACATCAGACATTAAAAATTCCCCTTTACAGGGCTGCCTTCAGATGTCTTCTAAAAGTCAGATAGTTGTTTATTTCCTTGACATCTGATGGGAGGGCATTCCACAGTGTGGGTACCACTACTGAAAAGGCCCTCTGCCTGATTCCCTGTAACTTCGCTTCTTGCAGTGAGGGAACCACTAGAAGACCCTCGGAGCTGGACCTCAGTATCCAAGCTGAACGATGGGGGTGGAGACGCTCCTTCGGGTATACTGAGCTAAGGCCGTTTAGGGCTTTAACGTTCAGCACCAACACTTTGAATTGTGCTCGGAAACGTACTGGGAGCCAATGTACAGTGGTACCCCGCAAGACGAACGCCTCGCAAGACGGAAAACCCGCTAGACGAAAGGGTTTTCCGTTTTGGAGGCGCTTCGCAAAACGAATTTCCCTATGGGCTTGCTTCGCAAGACGACAGCCCATAGGGAAATCTCAGGGACAGCGGGGAAGCGCAGCGCGTCTTCCCCACTGTCCTCGGACCTCCTCCGAAGCCTGGCGGCGGGGCGGGGACACCTCCTCCCGCCGCCGCCGGGCTCGGAAGGCTCCTCCGGCCGGGCGGGGGGAGGGAACACCTGCCGCCGCCGCCCGGCTCGGAACGGTGCTCCGAGCCGGGCGGGGGGAGGGAACACCTGCCGCCGCCGCCCGGCTCGGAACGGTGCTCCGGGCCGGGCGGGGAGGGAAGACCTCCCGCCTCTGCCCGGCCTCGGAACGGTGCTCCGGGCCGGGCGGTGGGGAGGAAGACCTCCCGCCGCCCGGCTTCGGAACGGTGCCCGAGCCGGGCGGGGGGAGGGAACACCTGCCGCCGCCGCCCGGCTCGGAACGGTGCCCGGCCGGGCGGGGGGAGGGAAGACCTCCGCTCTGCCCGGCTTCGGAACGGTGCTCCGGGCCGGGCGGTGGGGAGGAAGACCTCCGCCGCGCCCGGCTTCGGAACGGTGCTCCGGGCCGGGCGGGGGAGGGAACACCTCCGCCGCCGCCCGGCTCGGAACGGTGCCCGGCCGGGCGGGGGAGGGAAGACCTCCGCCGCCGCCCGGCTCGGAACGGTGCTCCGGCCGGGCGGGGGAGGGAAGACCTTCTGAAGGCGGGCGGGGGCGAAAGTCTTTGCTCCCCTGCCTGCCTGTCCCGGAGGGCTTTGAAGGCGGGGGAGCAAGACTTCGCCCCGCCCGCCTTCAGAAGAGGTCCAGGACCTCTTCTGAAGGCTGGCGGGGGCAAAGTCTTTGTCCCCCTGCCTGCCTTCCCAGGGGCTTTAAATTGCCCCGGACAGCGGAGAAGTCCTCCGCTGTCCCGGGTGATTTTAAATGCCGCCCGCCAGCATTTTAAGATCGCCCGGACAGCGGAGAAGTCCTCCGCTGTCCCGGGTTTTTAAAATGCTGGGGGTGGGAAGAAAGCCCTTGCCTCCCCCAGCCTTCAGAAGAGGTCCGGGGACAGACTGTCCCCGGACCTGGTCTGAAGGCGGCTTCCTAGGAACGCATTAATTGATTTTCAATGCATTCCTATGGGAAACCGTGCATCGCAAGACGAAAAACTCGCAAGACGAAGAGACTTGCGGAACGAATTAATTTCGTCTTGCGAGGCACCACTGTAGGTCTTTCAAGACTGGTGTTATATGGTCTCGACGACCACTCCCAGTCACCAGTCGAGCTGCCGCTTTCTGGATTAGTTGTAGTTTCCAGGTTACCTTCAAAGATAGCCCCACATAGAGCGCATTGCAGTAGTCCCAAGCGGGAGATAACCAGAGCATGCACCACTCTGGTAAGACAATCTGCGGGCAGGTAGGGTCTCAGCCTGTGTAACAGATGGAGCTGGTAGACAGCTGTCCTGGACACAGAATTGACCTGCGCCTCCATGTACGGCGGTGATTCCAAAATGGCTCTTCAAAAGCTGTGAAGTCCATGTTTTAAAGTTTGTTGTAGACATGAACTTGGCAGCCCAGGTTGGATGAAAAACTAGCCTTCCAGTAGACTCATGCTCCCCTCCTGTCCCTTTTAAAGAAGTACTTACATTTAATTTTGTGATTTTTTGTTTAAAAAAGTGGAACCATGAATTGGTAACACCGTTCTTAACTTAGCCAGAAACTTACAAAATTGACTTATCAGTTGAACTAGCGAAACACGTCTCCAGATTCTTTTGCACATATAACTGCAGTTGTATGTGCTGTGTATCAGACTGAAGAATGTGTGTGTCTTTATCTTCAAACTTTAGGTGGAGTTCTTCGAGCCGTTTTGGGACAGTGGCGAGCATCGGATTGGAGAAAAAGGAGCGAAAGGCTGGAAGGCCTGGATGCACCAACAAGAAAGGGTGGTTGGGTTGCCATCAACCCACCTGGTAAGAACATAAGGAGAGCTCTGCAGGATTAGGCCAGCGGCCCATCTCATCTAGCATCCTCTTCTTACAATGGCCAACCAGATGCTTATGGGGAGCCTGCAAGCCTGCTCCCCACTGACAGTGCTCGGAAATGGGTGTTCAGGGTCACACTGCTTCTGACAGTATGGAGGTAGACTATAGCTATCATGGCTGAGAGCCACTGATAGCCATTAACGTATCTGTGCCCATTCTAAAAGCATCCAAGTTGGTGGCCATCAGCACATCTAGGAGCTAATTCTGTAGTTTGCGCTGTGCGAAGAAGTGCTTTCTTATTTTCTCTTTCCTGAATCTCTCGACATTTCTGCTTCGTTGGACGTCCCTAGGCTCTAATATTGTGAGAGGAGCAAGCAGGAGCTCACTTTATGCTCCTGGCTGTTTCTTTGTAGCTGCCTCCTCACATAGCCCCCATTCGTGGACTAGGAGTTCCCCACCTTTGCCTTATTGCAACTTAAGCTGAGGTATGCGCAATTCACATAATCAGATCCTCTTTCTCTCCATACTTCTGTGTCCTCCCACCCCACAATGTCTCTGTAATTTTCTGGTGTCTGTTATAGATTGGGATCACCGCCATACCATATATTTAAGCATCACATACCTAGATGGTGCTGTATTAAATTATAATACAAGAATAAATTTGTAGGCCTTTGTGGCACCACAAGACTCCTTGTTGTCTTTGCTGCAACATGGTTACGTGGCTACCGCCATCCTGCAAAATTGCCACGCCGGCCTAAAGATATTGGCAGAAATTCAGCAAGGCTATTTGAATTTTATGAGCTTTCTTGTGGGGATTGCTGCCCTTTAGCAGCTTGCAAGCTTGGAGTCAATGGGATTCAACAGGCCAGATTTTGAAAACCTGCTGTGGTGTGTTTTTGGCTTCTCAACAGATGAAGATGAGGAAGACGCGGAGGAGGAGGAGGAAATAAAGGATAGATCTCTACCCAAGTGGCAAAACTGGCTTCATGTTGAACATTCTCGTGAAGGAAGGCACTGGCTGCCTTGGCGGCCGGACAAAACCAAGAAGGAGACAGTAGATGATTGTGAAGATCCAGAGAGACAGGTGGGTGTCATAGGGGTGTTGTTCCGCCCCCTTGATCATTGTTGTTGGCCTGTTCTGTTCTGTTGCGCTCATGCTTTTCTTGGAGGCTTCCCACAGGCATCTGGTTGGCCACTGTTGGAACAGGAAAATAGACTAGATAAGCCTTTGGATTGATCCAGCAGGCTCTTCTTACGCTTTTATGACATGATAGAAGTTTGTACAATAATGCATAATGTGGAGAGAAAGTGGTCCTGTGCCCCTCTGGATGTGCTGGACTGCAACTCCTTCCATCCTCTTGACCATTGGTCTTGCTCACTGGGGCTGATGGGAGTTGGAATCCAGCAACATCTTGAGGGCCAGTGGTCCTTCCTTCCTGGCATATTGCTTTCCTTCTTCGCCCTGCCTCTACTTCCACATCCTTCTCCTGTTCTTTTCCCTATTTTCAAATTTTAGATTGTAAGCTCCTTGGGACAGGGACCTGGCCTCTTCCACTCTGTAAAGCACCAAGTAACGTTGTAGGCTTGTTTTACGCTTGCATTTTTCTTGCCCTCTGAATTCCACTTCTTGAATGGTTTCTAGGATTATTCCGTTTTCTTTCTAAAATTCCTTCCCTTCGTACCTAACTGCATTTTTATGTGTGCTTGACAGGTCCTATTCGATGACCTTGGTCCATCGCTAATACAAATTTCCAGCCCAGATCTTCAGTTTCAGCTGCTCTGCTCGTTTCTGCAATTCTTAGGTGTGCCATGTGAGTGCAGCCTCCTTCCTTCCTTCCTCTACACAGCAATGGATGAGAACAACATCTTTGAGGATCGGCAGCATGGCCAAGGACCTCTGACTTCTTTTGACCTGTCACTTCCCGGAGTCAGTAGAATTGGCCAGATGGACTCGATGCTCCAAGGAGTTAGACATATTGGCCACCCCAAAGAAGGGGAGGAGTTCATACAGAATTTCTTCCATATGATTCTGCCTCTGCTTTCAGGAAAAGAAAAATCTAATCTATCCAACTTTTGGCTTCAGTATGAAGTCTCTAAGGTAAGTTGGGATTTTATTTTTAAATTCTTCCGCCGCCTTGTACGAACAGCAGATGTACAAATATTAGCAAGCTTCCCCCTTGGCTGAAGCCAAGCCAGTCTTGAGTCTTGTGAGTGCCTGATTCGGTGATCATCCGGGAGCTGTCTTGGGTTCTGTGATGGAACAAGGCAAGATGTACTTGTAAAATAATTAATCATCTCTGTAGCAAACACCAGACACTCTGGAGTGGCTTGCCCTGGCTAGCTGAGGATCCCCTAGAAATTCCTAGGATCTAGGGACTAATAGAGAAATACATTTGGGTAAAATTATCCCTAAAGCACTCCAAAAATATGAAGCCATTGTGTAGGTTAACCCTTCCTTTCCTGCCCCCACCCCATAATTTTTCTTTCCTGCTCCAGTTCCATCCCCCAGAGCTTCTACTTGCCAAATGGGGTAAAAGTCCCTAGGCCAGCTATGTGGAACTGCTTACAAATAAGCAAAACAATGAACCTGGTTGTGTTTTTCCTTGGCTGCTTCATCATTATTATTATTGATTAACATGCAGGTTATTCAGTGTTTGGAAACAGGCAACAAAAAGAAACTGAAATGGCAAGGGAAGAGAAGTAAGAAATTAGCCAAGAACCTTCTTAAGACCCATGAGAACAGAAACGATGTCTCCCTTTGGCGACTCTACGCCTACCTGGAGTGGTTGCTTGGCAATGTAGAAGATGCTAGGAAAGTTTTTGATATGTCTCTGAGCACGGCGGGAACGGCTGGGATCCAGAACCCCCAGCTCTGTAATCTGGGCCTGCTTTATGCCGAACTGGAAGCAGAGTTGCTGGGGAGCCAGGAGGGAACGCTGGAATCTCGCGCCGTTCACATATTGACCAAGCTGGCCGAGCAAGGAACTTACACGCCATACAGCGGACAGACATTATCCGTGAACGTTTTGAGAGCTCGGAAGACATACGAGCATCTTCTCCAGGATTACTTGAGCGAGAGAGCCACCTCTAAACAAGAACAGATCTGTGGCTCCGGCCACCTCGTTGGCTTGGTTGGTTGTTACACCCTTTTCCAGTATTTGACTCTCGGGATTGATTCTGCAGTGTCGATATACAGGCAGGTTTTTGAGAAGCTGGAAGGCGAAAGCTCTGGCGGTCAGAACTGCACTGCCAGCCTTGAAGCTGTCGCACTGATGCATGTGCATTTGCTCAGATACCACATGAGAACGAGCGTCTATCCTTTGGCTCCTCTCCGCGAAGCACTGCTGGAGGCTTTGAAGAGGTATCCTAGCAACCAGCCTCTCTGGAGAGCATATATCCAGATCCAACGCAAGTCGCACAACGCTAGCAAAGCGCGGCGGTTTTTTGACAGCGTTGCAAGGGCTGTGAAGTCGCTGGAGCCGTGGCTGTTTGCAATCAAAGCTGAGCAGATGAGGAAAAAGCTTGTGGAAAGTGTCCAAAGGTAACATTGCAGCTTACAGATGATGCATTTCTCTGCCTCTCTTGCTTATTAATTGGCACAGGCCTATTCCCCTTTGCAAAAGTTAATTTCATTTCTACGTGACATTTGTATCCTGCCCAAGGAGCTCTGGCCAGTCTTTTAAATCTCCAGAACAGCCCTCTGAGATTTGATTTGCCCAGGGATACAAGGTGAACTTCATGGCCAAGTGGAGATTCAAGCACAAATTTTCCACATCAAACATAGGCTGTTGCCTTATATTGAGTCAGACCACTAACTGGTAGCAACTTTCCAGGGTTCTGGGCAAGAGAAATTCCCAGCCCTTCTTGGAGCTGCTGGGTTTTGCACCTGGGACGCTGTACCAATGAGCTATGCCCTTCCCCAGTGCTTAAAGCATTGCTATACTGCATTGTTGCTTTCTGCAGGGTTACATCCACTTGCATTTCTTCTGTTGTCACAAACATGTCCTCCGACAGCCTTCCCCAGCCCTCCAGATTATTTATTTTGCATTCCTCTACATCACCTTTTGCAAAGAACAAAACAAAAAAAACCCCTGACTTCCCAACAGGTTGCACCAGAACAAAACATATTAATAGGAATTACAGAAAGCAGATAAAAATGCAATTAACATCCAGTTTCATACTGGCAGTCGGTATAAAACATAGAAGGACTAAAGGCTGGGAAAAGTGAAATTAAATTAAAAATGACCTCAGGAAGGTTGGGAGCGCAAGTAAGTCTTCGCCATGTAGCAGAAATCAGCTATCCGCATATCCATGGGAAGGGAGTTCCATGACTGGGTGCCACCACGAAGAATGCCTCGCTGTGCATTACCACACAACCAAGGTTGTTGGACTACAGTTCTCGTTATTCCTGACCATTGGTCAACCTGGATGGGGCTAATGGAAGTTGGGAGGCCAGAATAATCTGCTGAGGTTGGGGAGGGCTGCTGTACGGTATAACAATAATTTAAGAGAATACTATGGTGGGGTGTGAGCATGGACTGGAAACTTGTTGGCCAACCTTGGGCCAGTTACCTCCTCAGCCTAACCTAACGTACAGGGATGTTGAGGGGTGCAGAGAAGGAGGAGGGTGCTCTTTATGCTGCTCTGAGCTTGCTGGAGGATTTAAAAAGAAGCAGCATAGGATTGCATGCAAACATTAACATGAGTGGTCATGCCCCATGACTTTCCTACCCTCTTCTCCCCGGTGCAGCTCCTTACACACAAGGCCTTGGAGTTGTAGTGTGAGGGGAGATTTCTAAAACTCAGGGAGCCAGTGTGATGTAGTGGTTAAGAGCAGTGGACTTGTAATCTGGGGAACCGGGTTCACGTCTCTGCTCCTCCACATGCAGCTGCTGGGTGACCTTGGGCTAGTCACACTTCTCTGAAGTCTCTCAGCCTCACTCACCTCACAGAGTGTTTGTTGTGGGGGAGGAAGGGAAAGGAGATTGTTAGCCGCTTTGAGACTCCTTTGGGTAGTGATAAAGCGGGATATCAAATCCAAACTCCTCCTCCTCCTCCTCCTCCACTCATACATTTGGATGCAAGCAAGGGGCCACTGCTCAGTTGGGTAGAGCACATCCTTTGCATGCTGAGGATCCAGAGGTCATTCCTGGGCATCTCCACCTCCACCAGGTGACAGGAAAGACCCAGCACCACATGTAGCTCTTGGGGGCAAGAAGGTTGCCCATCTCTGCTCTCGAAAAATCTCCAGTGTGAGTTTGTCTTGGAAAGAAGAACTGTGTTCATTCCTGGACCTGACCACTGAAAACACTGTTCATTCTCTTGTTTTTCTGTGTTTCAGAGTAGCCACTGGCGATGTGTACGCAACCATCCCCGAAACCGGGATAACCAATCGAATCAAAGCTTTATTTGAACATGCCATTGAGACTGAAAACGGTGCTCATTGTCCATTGCTTTGGAGGCTCTATATATACTTTATGGTGAGAGAGTGCAGCCCCCTCTCCCCCCCCCCCCGCTTTATTTTATTAAGTGATTCTTGGATGCTGTTTTGTAGATTAGAAGCTATAGAAAAATTAACACTTAAAAATGCACCGTAGGGATGTTAATGCAAATCTTAACATAGATTATTAGAAAACCTTTTTATGTAAAAAATATATGGCTCAGATCCCATGTTGATCCTCTATTCATGTAAGGAGGAGGGCAGTAATTTTTGACAGCTCCCCCTCCTGACCATTCCCAGTTGAGTTAGGATATAGACAGTCTAAATATGCATAGATGTTGTATCACATCATATAATATTAATATACAGTTCTTTAGAGTTAGATTTCTCCCTGAGAATTTCTCAGTCTGAATATTTAATGGTTCTTTCTTCAATTCTAAATGAAAATAACATTGTTTATGTACATAGAGTTCTGCATTATTATTATTTTTAAATGTATGTTTGAAATGCAAAACTTTGTCTTATTTCTTTCAGGTTTCTTTAGGAGATAAAGGAAAAAGTAAAGGAGTGTTTTATAGAGCGCTTCAAAACTGCCCCTGGACAAAAGTAGGTTTCTTTTTTAAAAATGTATGTATGTATGTATGTATGTATGTATGTATACAGTGACAACGCAATAGAACATGTGTCTCTGTTAGGGTCAAACCAGATTCCTGATTATTTGCATAGCTGGTAAAATGGAACTATTGTTTATAATTGACAGTAGGTTGCAACAGGTTCTGCAATAGTATGGTGGGTTTTTTTGTGGGGGGTGTTAAAACTGCCCAGAAAGCAGGGAAACTGAAGAGTAAATCTATGAAATATGTAGTCAAAGGAATAGAGACTTAAAAGTTTACATGACCAGTATCTAATATACTGTGAATTATTCCTGATTCTTGACAAGTTTGGTTTTAACTGGACTTGGTGGGGATTTTTTCAAGCATTTCTTCGTGACCTATAGCACAGATAGCAAATCCTTACGTTTAATTTTTTTCGATGGAAAACTTGAGGCATACAGAATTGGAATTCTTTTTTATTTAGTTTTTTATGGACCAGACTCAAGAGGGTCAGAGTGTGCAGGCTTGGAGGGTGGGAGCACTGGAAGGCATAGTGTAGTTTGGAGCAAGGACGCGAGATCTGCGGCACCGTGGAAGGGAGCTGTACCCACCTATCCTAAACAGCTTAGTTGCCTTGTTTTTTATTTCATTAGAGCTAGGTTTGTCTTTTTCTTTTTCTTCTCTGCATTTCTTCATGACCACCCCCTCTTTGGCCATGAATTTGCTCTCTTGTCAAATAAATTCCTGGCCCGACTTGTGCTGTTCCACAAGCATGGCAGATTGATTATTTTCAATGTAATACTTATATTCGTAGGTGCTGTATATGGATGCTATAAGCTATTTTCCAGATGAGCTGCAAGAGATCCTTGATCTAATGACTGAGAAAGAGCTGAGAGTGCGGGTACCAATTGAAGAGCTGGAGCTACTCCTGGAAGACTAGAGAATGAAGTGAAGACAGCAAGTGGGCCTTGGCTTGAGCCTTCAGTCTCTACCCCTGGGGAGAAAATAATTCTCCACTTCCTTTAACAGATGAGAAATGATTATTTCCCTTATATATTTTTCAGCACAGCTATCTTGTGGTTGGTTTTCCCAGTGCTGTTAAGCGCTCTTGTGCAGCGAACTGCCAAGATGGGTGACTCAATCTGTTGCTGTCGTCGGACATCGTCACATGCATTTGTGTGACTATGCAATAGCCAAAGGACAAGCCATTCTCTCTCAGCTGATTGATGCACGAATACACGATCAGAATAGTTTTATCGGTTGTACAGAACACGAAAATGTGCACTTGCGTGACGACTCACGTGATGTTTTAGGCAGCGAAGCCTCGTGTAACCAAATTTTTATTGGTTTGTAAATGGCAGAGGATGTAAATATGCTTGTAAAGGTACATAAAATATTTTTGAACTGGATTGTCTTTCTATATCTCTCCCCTCCCCCCCAAAAGGTGGAAACACTTAAGCACTGCTTTTAGTGAATCTTTCCTTGTTGCATCTGTGGAATTTAACATGGCCGCACAGCTGCCAACTTATATGCCACACTCAACAGTAATTTTGAACCCTCCCAGGATATGCATTTTATGAAATTGTTTCCTATTCAGTTTGGAAGTTTGGGCTACCCACTACTGAAATCAGGTGGGATGTTAAGAGTTGCTAATGAGGATGCAGATAAGATTCTGAAAAAGTAAATGCTAAGCCAGGCTGTGGAAAAATGCTGCATATCCAAGCACTGTCGGTTGTAAAAGAAGTGAGCTGTGTGTGCTCTCTAGGGCACTCTCCTGTGATGCCGCGAGGGCATCCTAGATCCAGAGGAGTTTGTGGATCTGCCCTTCTGATTAGGGGAGATTTCTCCTGGGGCAGCCCCATCCCAGCTGACATTACTGCCCCTCTGGCCAGCAGCACTCCTGTGGTGAAGAGGCCAAAAGGGTGACAGGGACAGCTTTGGATTCAGCAGATGCTCTCCCATCTTGAGGGAATGAGGAAGTACACCAGCCGTGAAACTGGCATATTCTTTCCTCTCCACCCTCCCCATCTTGCCTTGGTTGGCACCAGACAGGCAGGTCTTGGCATCTGTTGGTTGGAAGGCATCAGAGTCCTCCTCGTTGCTCTGTCTGGCTTTTAAAAATACCCCGGATAGAGATGACTTGGCTGCTGAACCCTTGATTACTTCAAGATTAGATTATTGCAATGCACTCTAGGTGGAGCTGCCCTTGAAGACAACTCAGAAACTTCAGTTGGGTCCAAAACGCAGCAGACCCGGATACCGGCCTGCGTTCAGTTTATAAATCCCATTTTAAAACAGCTGCACTGGTTGCCAGTTTGTTTTTGGGCCCAATTCAAGGTGCTCACATTGGTGTTTAAAGCCCTAAACAATTCAGGCCCCAAATATCTGAAAGACTGCCTCCTCCCGCACAGACCTCCTCAGGTGCAAAGGGGGTCTTCCTGGTAGTTCCTCCATCCTCAGAGGTTCAGGGGAAGAAGGAAGAAGGAGGCAGCCTCAGTAGTGGCCCCTAAACTATGGAATCCCTTCCCCCCCAGAGGTGCCTCTTGCACCATTGTGATACAGCTTTCAGAGATTGCTGAAGACGCACCTCTTTACCCTGGCTTTTGACACTTGACAAGTACGATTTCAGGGCCCCATATTTTTATGGTTATAAATTGTTTTTAATACTGTGTTTTAATGCTGCAACCCACCTTGGAACCTTATAAAGGGCAGGCAATAAATGAGTAAATAATAACAAAAGCACAGTAAGCACTCTGGGATTGAAAGCAAGGAGCGAACAGCAGCTTACTTTATGTTTGCACTGGGACTTCTATCGCTATTACTGGATGTGTTTTAACAAGAGAGGGACGTGAAGCCTCTGTTTATATGATTGGAAACCTAGGTAACAATTACAGGGATGCCTCTGAATATCACAATACACCCCCTTTGGGCAAAACAGCTAGTGTTTCCTATAGGAAGCAGAGAGGGCAGTTGCTTTCATGCTGCTAGAATCCGAATGGAAGCAGCAGAGAGCACAACTCACAGCTATGAAAGCTTTTAATTAATTATCCTTTATTCCATAAGCAATGCTTTGCGACACTTGCTGCAAGGTGCAATTAACTAAATAAAGCTTTGGACTGTCCTGAAATCTAATATAGGCTGTCAACAACTAGGCTGCTCAAGTATTCAGCAGGGGTGTTATGAGCTCTGGCCACAAATCATGCCATTAACCGGATCTCAGAGGAGCCAAAATAGTATTCTCAGACAGAGGTATGTTCTCTTCAGCAGAGGTAATTCAGTGGTGGGCAGAGGATTTTGTTTCACCACTGCCTTTCTCCAAAGGGAGTGTTGTGCAAAGCAGCCTCTTAGAGTAGTTGCAAAAGTTTTACTTCCTTTTCCGAAAGCCTTCTTCAGATAACAAGGTGGGGACAAAAAAGGTATTTGTATAGTTGAATTCCTGGTCTGTGCTGGTAGCCACATTTCTTTGCAAATAAATCCCACCATAATCAATGGGACATACCATCAAAGCTAAGATCAAGCTCACAGTTACATTGGGCATCTAAATCTTTTTGGCTTTATGGGTTGGGGGCATCTGCCTGTGTCAAAAACCTAAAACCTGTTAAAATTGTCCTGGCTACAAGCCAGGGAAATCTGGCCACTAGTTCTTTGGAGCTGCACAGGACCTGGATAAGTGAAGACTCTTGGCATTACTTTAAAAAGCCAAGATTCTTTGGGGAAAGCCAAGGCACTTAACCCATTTTCCAAACTGATTTAAACTTGCAGTGAAAAAATGTACCCAACGTATTAACTGTGAAGACATGCAAAACTAGGGCTTCCATTCAGGAGACTTGCCCCTACTGGCTATTAGCTTTCCTGTTATGTGAGTTTCTAAACAAGAGCATATGGAGCTTAAGACAGAAAAAGACATGGGCTGCTCTTCTGTGAATCAGGATAAAGTGCCTTTCTCTTAGAAAGTCCTCCTACCCACTTGCCTGGTTAAAGCTTCTGCTGGCAGAAAGCGTAACCCACACTTGCTGTTAACCAGCATTTGGATATAGGTTCCAAATACTGCTGAACGGTGAAATCACATCTACCATGGCCAAGATCAGTACCTTAACCACAGGTGATGTAACCAGGAGCATGCAACTGCAGTTAAGATCCTGGGAATTTTTATGGGTGAAACCCAGTGGTGTCCCTGTTAGAATTCCTGTTCCATGATTGCGGTCATGGGATTGTTGTCTTTCACATGATGGTATATGTTTTGACTCCACAGAGTGGGAAGTGACGGAGACAGGGTGTTTGTGTTACTGTGTTCCGTGAAGTGGGACTATTGTCCTTTGTTCATTCTCTTTGCTGTCTGATGCTAGAGAGAGAGGGAGCCAATCAGACAGCAGAGAGAATAAACAAAGGACAATAGTTCTATGTTCATGGAACACAGTAACACAAACATCCTGTCTCTGTCACTTCCCACTCTGTGCAGTGAAAACATATACCATCATGTGAAAGACAACAATCCCATGACTGAAATCATGGAGCAGGAATTCTAACAGTCCCACCAGCAGAACTACTTCCCTTCCCTCTGCCCCACTTTGATCCAGAGGATTGGAGGTTTGGAGAGCAGAATGGCAGGGGAGGGGGAATTGCAAGGAAGAGGAGAGGAAGGAGATGTTGCATTCATAAGAAGTCCACTCATACAACACTGGATGTCCCCCTGAGTGTTCTCATCATAGCCACGGAATGACATGTACAAAGAACAGTACATGTGAAAAGGATCTAGGAGTCTTGGTTGACCACAAACTTGACATGAGCCAACAGTGTGACGCTGCAGCTAAAAAAGCCAATGCAATTCTGGGCTGCATCAATAGGAGTATAGCATCTAGATCAAGGGAAGTAATAGTGCCACTGTATTCTGCTCTGGTCAGACCTCACCTGGAGTACTGTGTCCAGTTCTGGGCACCACAGTTCAAGAAGGACATTGACAAACTGGAACGTGTCCAGAGGAGGGCAACCAAAATGGTCAAAGGCCTGGAAACGATGCCTTATGAGGAACGGCTAAGAGAGCTGGGCATGTTTAGCCTGGAGAAGAGGAGGTTAAGGGGTGATATGATAGCCATGTTCAAATATATAAAAGGATGTCACATAGAGGAGGGAGAAAGGTTGTTTTCTGCTGCTCCAGAGAAGCGGACACGGAGCAATGGATCCAAACTACAAGAAAGAAGATTCCACCTAAACATTAGGAAGAACTTCCTGACAGTAAGAGCTGTTCGACAGTGGAATTTGCTGCCAAGGAGTGTGGTGGAGTCTCCTTCTTTGGAGGTCTTTAAGCAGAGGCTTGACAACCATATGTCAGGAGTGCTCTGATGGTGTTTCCTGCTTGGCAGGGGGTTGGACTCGATGGCCCTTGTGGTCTCTTCCAACTCTATGATTCTATGAACAGTGGCTGCTCTAGCAACAGAGCAAACAAGCTTAATTAATCCACACCGTCGTCAAACTGAATAAACAGTACATGGATGGATGGAGAAATCTGTTGCTCAGGAGTGTCCCGAGTATTTGTAAGCACAGCTCACCTACAACTAGTGACGAAGAGGAGATGGCCTTGTCAGTGAAATACAATCTGCAGGCGGCCACCTGCTCATGGCAGCTCCTTTGTGATTATACTCCTCTAGCAACATCTATTTCTAGCGCTTAGCGTTGTCACAGCCTGTCTTGTTCAGCTTGAGATAATACGAGAGCAATTTGCTTTCGACGTGGTTTAAATTGTTCACCGGAGCCATGAGAAACCCCCTCAGGCTCAGAACACATGCTTCATAATTCAGAAGGAGAGGGAATCTGCTAGCAGTTAATGGTGCACCTTGGAGTGCAGCAGAGAGGTAAAAATACGGCCCCAGTTGTTTTGAATAATACACATACACATAAACGCAATTTCAGTTTTCCTGCTGCTTTTTGCTTTCTCAGGAGGAAAGAAGTGCCTGTAGGCTTGTTACCTGTAGGAACTCTCCCCATACCTGCCTGCCAACAGCAGCTGTGGGTTAACTTCCCTCACTCCATGAATGCACGACCCAACCTGGAGAATCTCTGTAGGACCCCAAAGCCTGTAATTCCAACAGCGGTTTGACCATGGAAGTTATGTTTATGTCTCCGTGATTGACATAGTTATTCAGACTTTGACTGCCCTGTACCCACAGACAGCCTTGGCCGTGACATCTGACTCTCAATCCATATTACCATTTTGTGAATCTGGCACATTCTTGGAACCAGGCAGGAAGTGATGAAAGATGCCCGGTGTTCTGTTCAGCCCTCCAAGTCATCTTGCTTCTTCTAGTGCATCTTACTTCCACTGAGCATCTGTTACCACACGTCTAACTGCTTATCTGGATGGATTTTCCAATAATGTGGGCTTTTGAAAGCAATCCCAGCAGAATGTTTTTCAACATTATTTCGGCATTCTTTCTCAGTCTCTGTGTAATCACATAAATGTCTGTGCAGCTAGGCTGGATTTTTGGCAGGCTTCCCACAACCACCCTTAAGAGCACATACGAAAGGACATGGTTTTCCCACTCACGTTCTTTCCACTACAGTGGTAGCCTCCAAGCCTTGTTTTTATTATTATCCAATTTCTACCCAGCACTTCCTTCAGATTCTCTTGCTAGAGTGTTTTTTTCTGTTCCAATTACCACAGTTAAGTACTCATTTCTTCAGCTTTTATCCTCCCTTTCTCTTTTACAGTTTTATCTGCCTCTCTCTTTTTGTACATTTAGTGCTGTTTCTTTCCTCAATCGCCTTTTTCTGCATCCCCACCTAGACTGGGTTTATGGCTCGGCATGGCGCTTTCCCCATAAGTGCCTGTCCCGTGACAGCAAAAACTTAACACCTGAAATTCTGGAGATTCATATTTGTGACTTAAGCTATTTACTTCCAGTTGCACCCAGGACTAAATGTAACCACCAGCCGTGGAAAAGTTATGGAGTCAATTGGTTTGCAGACCAAGAGGCAGGCAGACAGGCCAAATTACACATCAGAAACCATCATTGCTTAAAATCTTAACCCATTCATTCCAATCCATTTGGAAACCAAGGTTTTAATGGCAAATAAAGTGTTTAAAACTACAATGTGGAGGAATTCACTTAAACAATGCTTCAAGCAGCAAAAGCTTTTTCTTTCCGCCCAAGGCATTTAATTTCTCATGCTTTTCCTGTACTCTGAAAGGAAGGTTCCAATAATTTCTCTTGCCCCAGGACAAACAAACAAAAGGTAAAAAGTTACAGATAGAGGCCCTCTGGGGTGCCTTCTTGTTTCTTATAAAGAACATTCTCTTTTGATTTTTTGAAGTCTTCGTTTGTTACTTTCATTCTCCGTTCCCGCAGAGCCATCAAGCCAGCTTCTGTGCAAATAGCCTGCCAGAGATGGAAGCCTCTGGTTAGAAAATTATGAATCTCACTTTTATTCAATGCAGTGAAAAAATAATTTTCAGTAAGCAATACTTGCAATATTGTCCAGCTAGGGCAGCGATCCTATGCATACTTACTTAGGAGTAAGCAGCACAGCACTGACTGAGACTTACTTTTAAATAAACCTGCACAAGATCGGGGCATAAGTCTGTTAAGGTTGGTTCATATCTTAACTAAACAAAAAGGCAATTGGACTGTAACACACAGTAATCTTTACATACTTTTTTTGGTTCCTTCCCTCTCCATACTCTGCTCTCGCAGAAGCAGAGCCCAATGAATCTTTTCAGCATTTGAGTGAAATGCCAAAATTGAAGTTTTTACAATGAAGTGTCATGGGTTTAAGCAAGAAAATGGAGGAGATATCTTGTGAGTCAGCCATGGTGCACCCACCAGTGAAAGACAAGGAAGCAAAACAGGCCAGAGCCTTTTCAACTCTGCATCTCATCTCTTATCAAGACATATGAGCAAGTGTCTCCATACCTCCCTGTCTGAGCATCATACTCAACTGTAGAGGTCCTCTTAGTTTTCCTGCATTCGGAGTTAACACCCTTCCTATCAATTCCTCCAACCCGTGTCAATGCTGGCAATATTTCAGCTCTTGTTAAAGCATGCCTCATGAAACACCCTCAAGCCTTTTCTGTTGGTTAATGCTAGGAATTAATTAATGGGGCCCTTCTGATTATCAGTTGCATTTTATCTGTCGTATTGTGATTTTAATGTTCTATCATTTTAACTTGAACACTTGAGATGGATTACAATGAATGCAAGGCCTTAGCTGCTCCCTCCTTCCCCACGAAAGGCATTCTGCAAGTGTCACTGATTCCTACAAGCTTCTAGCAAAATTTTGGCAAAATATTCAAGCATTTCTTACCCTCATTTCATGAGTTTTGGCCCCTCATACCAAAGACAGGCCCACTTCCAAATATCAATGACTTTCTAACTCAGGAGGAGGCAAAATAGCTGACTAACATGGGAAATACTTCCATGACACGGGAAATTTGTTATCAGGCAAACTGGAAGATGCCAGTTCATATTTTTTTTAAAACTAACCCTTTCAAAAATCAAGAATGTTCAGGTAACAGTTCCTCTAAAATTTGATAAAAATAATGGTGTTTGTGAGAAGGGATGAAACATATGAGGAAAGGAGGCTGAGATGATTTACTGTTAAGAGGAGAAACTTCGTTTATCAAGCATCTTACCTTAATATCTGCACCAGAAAGATCATCTTTAGCCATAATCAGCTCATCCAGTGTGACATCATCTGCCAAAGTCATTCTGCTGGTATGAATCTGAAAGATGCGCTTCTTTGTTTTCTCGTCGGGCAGAGGGAATTCAATCTTCCTATCGATACGCCCTGGTGATTGAAAAACAAAAACCAGGCAGCTTAGATTTTTACTGAGATGGAAGGATTTCCTTGGGTGGTGGCTTCACACTGCGACTAAACAGTTTACTTCTTTAAAAAAGTTTTATCCAGCAAATGATGGCATGCCATCTGAAAAGCAAACAAGCAACTGCAGCATAAACAATTTTTGGCACTTTCTACTCCACACTAATATGTTCCCCTGACTAACGGAGATAAGCATCCCCTGAGGTTAGATTTCATAAACTACATATTTCTCTTACATTTACACCCTGCCTTTCTTCCATGGAACTCAAGGTGGCCCATTGAGGGTTTCCAGGCCATCTCCCATCTAGGTACTGACCACACCCTGATTTGCTCAGCTCCAACAAGTTTGTTGTACTATTTGTCTTCAGACCATACCCTGGGATCTAGCATGCGGAACTGTAACTGCTCACATCCCTCATTTTTCACGCCTCCCTCTCCCCAGGTTCTAAATCTAGATTATGAGCCACTGAGGGAGAGGAACTTGCCCATTTTTGCTTGGATAAAAGTGTCATGTCCCGTAATAACATCAATAAAGAGTAAGCTACATAAAGGAAGCACTTAGCTTATTTACTGAGAAACTGCAACATAGTCAGTAGTCAAATGCAAAAAACAAGTGGAAATAATTTGCAACACAATGATCACCTGGCCTGATTAAAGCTGGATCCAGTGTTTCTATTCTGTTAGTGGCCATGATCACTTTTACATCTCCACGTGAGTCGAACCCATCTAACTGGTTCAGCAGCTCCAGCATTGTTCGTTGGATTTCCCTTTCGCCCCCCGAATTTGAATCGTATCTTTGGAGGAGAGAATAACATCAAAGTAAGTTGCATGCAGCAGTCTCCACAGAAGATCGCATTTCCCTTTATCTCTAAATAAAAATCACTGAGCAATCACAGGCAAATAAGTTATGGCACAAGCAATGGCTACACAGAGATCTCCCCCAACCTCTTTTTTTAAATTTCCAAACCCAGCGGATGAGATACCCCATTCAGCTGGATGGATAAGAGGCTGGACTCAAAGCTGGTCTACAAATGGCACTGCTTTGCTTGAACTTGCTTACTTGGCACCACATAGCTGCTGCAAGTCTTTTCTGTCCCTTCTCATTTCCCCTGCCATCAGTTGAAATAGCACAAAAAGCCTTCAAGATGGGGAACAGGTGCTTTTACAATACCATCAGATTTCACACGCATAATTTGCTCTGTTTCAGCAACTTCTATCTGGTCTTCCTTTGAAATTTTAAGCGACTGGTTTAGCCTCCAGTAATTATTACAACAGGTCTTACAAATAGCTCAGTTAGAGTATAGTCTGAGAGTGCTCTTGGCACCTATATTACATGAGAAGTTAGCTTCATAGCATCTTCAAACTTACTCCTACAATGTGGGGTAGAATTTTTAAAAAAATGCAAGATGGGATTATCAGGATTATAGGCAACTTCTGGTTTAGGCACAGCCGAACTGACCAATGGATGCAGGGGTCCATAACGGAACTCTCGCATGAAACAAAGACTGGCTCTGTAGCAAAAACACCTGTGAGCAAAAGCAAAGTAACCTTTGGGGAGCGCAGAATGCAACACAGCTGCTGTGTCCCAACTCCTATCATTGATTGACTGGAAAGAAAGGAAGAAATGAAACCAATTCATAGAATTGCATTTGTTACATCCCACATTAAAGCGACAACGTCCTACCTTTTGGTACCTATAGCATCGATTTCATCGATGAAGACGATTGACGGGGCATGTTCCTCAGCCACTCGAAACAGTTCTCGAACAAGCTTTGGACCATCTCCCAGGTACTTCTGTATGAGTTCAGAACCAACCACTCTCAGGAAGGTGGCAGAGGTTTGGTTTGCGACTGCTTTGGCTAGTAATGTTTTACCTGTTTGATTTCCAAAACACAGTTGAATTTAGAGCTTGCAGAAACAGTGACTAATCTGCATTACAATGCTATGCATGCATGCAGTTTGGAACTATCCACAAGGTACCCATATTGTCTATGATAAATTAACCTCTGAGGTTAGCCAGTGTGGTGTAGTGGTTAAGAGCGGTAGTCTCGTAATCTGGGGAACCCGGTTCGCGTCTCCGCTCCTCCACATGCAGCTGCTGGGTGACCTTGGGCCAGTCACACTTCTCTAAAGTCTCTCAGCCCCACTCACCTCACAGAGTGTTTGTTGTGGGGGAGGAAGGGAAAGGAGAATGTTAGCCGCTTTGAGACTCCTTAAAGGGAGTGAAAGGCGGGATATGAAATCCAAACTCTTCTTCTTCTTACAATTCAGCTACAGCCTTGGAAGTACCGTATTTTTCGCCCTATTGGACGCACCTAGATTTTTTTTGGGGGAATAAAGGGGAAAATTATTTCCCCCTTACAGGCGCGGGGCTGGGGTGGGGGAAGCCCGAGCTTCCCAGGCCCCACCCCCCAGAACGGGAGCCAGAGCTGCGCGCCCGGGAGCGCAGGCAGCTCCGCGGAACCCTCGGGAGCCCCGCGCAGAGCTTCCTGAAGCCTGGAGAGCAAGAGGCTCTCGCTCTCCAGGCTTCAGCGAAAGCCTGTATTCGCCCCATAGGATGCACACACATTTCCCCTTCATTTTTGGAGGGGAAAAAGTGCGTCCTATAGGGCGAAAAATACAGTACTTCAAAAGGTTCCTACAACTTGAACTCATGCTTCCTGGGGAGAGGTATGCTTTATATTTATATTTTGCTGGAAGCTGCCTAGAGTGGCTGGAGAAACCCAGCCAGATGGGTGGGGTATAAGTAATATAATAATAATAATAATAATAATAATAATAATAATAATAATATGCTTGACTGGAATGTTGGTGCAGAGAATGCAATTAAAGGAATGTCTGGAAAACATGGCCATATTTGGTGAAGATGTTTTCTAAAAAAATAACAATATCAATACAAAAAAACCCAAATCAATACATAAATTATCCAAGTCAGTTTAAACCCAAAGGCAATATAAAATAAAAATTAATAAGTAGACAAAGAGCTGGAAAAACATTTTGCAAACTCAATTTGCAAAGGCACAACCTGCCTTAACCTGCCAAGCAGGTAGCAGCCTTGGGCTTCCTTGCAGAAAAAGCTTTCCAGAATTTCAGCACTGCAGCAGAAAAGGCACTGTGCCTTGTGGAGCCAATCCAGCCTCCACAGAAGATGGCATTTTCAGCAGCACCTCATGGGTAAATATTAGCTTATCACATCCCACATTTCAGAACCACACTGTTATAAAGAACAATGCCAGAGATACTAGCAAGACCTTATTGCTCCAGCCTCCAGGCAGAATATCTATGAGCTGTGTACCAATCATGAGGTGCAGCCAGGAGTGTCAACATTTAGAGACATATAGAACCAGAATGACAGAAGAGTAGTACCTGTGCCAGGTGGTCCATACAGAATGACTCCTTTGGGTGGCTTGATACCCATCTCTTCATAATATTCAGGATGGGTCAAAGGGAGCTCCACAGACTCCTATAGGAAGAAGCAACAACATATCTATCTGTATATTAGCTCTTCCTAGCTGAAAAAAAAATCACAGACTGGGCAGTGAATTAATGATCAAAATTAGAATTTTCAAAAGTGAATGTTAACACTGAGTATTTTAAAGCAACAAATGCTGTTAACTCCAATGTTTCCGACAGACCCCAGTGTGATGAAAGAGCTGGAGTTTCAAGCTGAGAAACAAGAACCCTGAGAAACAGAGATTTGAAGCGTCACTGAGCTTGGATAGTTCCAGGCAATTCTCTGTAAGCCTAATTCCTCTTATAGGATTAAAGTGCACAATTTCTTTGCAAGGTGCTATAATACATACATACATACATACATACATGAATGTTTTTCACCATCATCTGGGTCTCAAAGTGGCTTACAATGATAGAAACATGAAATATTACAATATAGAAAAACATTGCCACTCGCGCATGCGCAGCAGCTATAAATCACGCTTCGTGCATGCGCAGAAGCGCAAACCGCTCTGCGCATGTGCGCAAATGCAGCGCTTTGCCCTGCATCCTTTTCGGCTAGTGGCTGGGGCTCCAGAACAGATCCCGGCCGCAAAACAAGGTACGACTGTAAACAGTATTTTTAAAAAATGAACAAGAATTAAAAACTGCAGAGATAAAATACGACTCGTTTTGAAAGGCTTGGGAGAGAAAAAGATGATTTCTCAACAAACACTGAAAAACAGAACAGGAGGTTGCTTCATTTCTAAAGGAAGAGAATTGTAGTGGACTGGAGCCTCAGCACTACAATCACACTCTCAAGCCGCAGGGACATGTGGCACCATCAAGAGAGATCATTACCTGACCGCCTCTCTGCTAAGCAAAATACAGTTGAAGTTCCAGCAGTAGTTGCTGAGCAGTAGAATCAAGTAAATACCAGCACTTTTTTTTATTACTTTTTTTAAAATTGTGACATCAGTGCTCCTTCTTTCATCAGTGCTGAAAGTATAAATACCTTAATTTCTTGAATCTGGTTATCTAAGCCTCCAATATCTGCATATGTCTCTTGAGGGGCTTTCTCCACCTTCATCACTGTCACTAAAGGATCCGTGTCATCCATGAGGACTCCTATCACAGCGTGGACCTAATCAAAACAGGCAGCAGCACCAATAAATAATATTGCATGTAATTCACTTGGGTCTGGGTTGGAGAGAAACAACACGCTTATCTGAGTGTTTGTCCCATTCCTAGCAAGGAGACAAAGCATAAATGTCATTGACATAGGTCTGTGGGCCAGCTCGCTTGGTCAAAATCACCACCAGAAAAGGATGCCCAGGACCACCCCAAATCAGCAGCGACCTCTGCTGCTTCTGCCTGCTCCAAAGTACAGTGCTATCCGGCAGATCTCTACACCACAGACAAAGTTTGTTTGTTTATTTATAATAAACTTATTGGTCGCTTGTCACCCAAAGGCTGCATAAATACATTGTACCGTAGAAAAGAAGAGGGAATCAAATAAAAAATATGCCATATCGGGAAAACAAAAAATGAAACACCAGCCGCCAGTTACAGTAACAGAATACATTAGCAGCACACAAGCAAAAAAGTTCTCTGACTCTCTCGGAAGAGTCAACAGCAAACACAAGTACACATAAGCTACTGAGGCCAGGTTTTGGTTGCTGCATATTGGGCCCTAAACACGTCTACAAATACAAATGCATGCAAGAAGAATAGTGTGATCTAAGTTACGAACAGGTACAATTCCAGCATTCCAGCAGTAACTTCAATGAAAATGTCAACTGAATTTCAGACGCTGCTGCCAAACTGCTGCAGCCCTATTGGTCAACAGGGCAAGTTTGCTACATATCCAATTAAGCATGGCTCAGGCTACATCATTACACCATGCTGCAACACCAGCGACAAAAATTAAAAGAAACTGGTATTGTCTGCCACTTTCCATTGACTAAGCTTTCCAAGGGAAGTGGCAGAGCAGATGACAAGTAATTATCCTCTCATGAAAATGATTTCACAGCTGATCAAAAGAGGCACTTTTCTTTTTGCTTTTCTTCATACCTTTCCATTCTAATCCAAAGAAGCAACAACCTGGCGCTGTTCAAATCAATAGGAATCTAGAATCTCATAACTAGCTGACCTCATGTGATCAGCTCTCTCTACACAGGGGTGTTTACTTTCTCTGTTGCCCTCCTCCGAGTTCTCCATTAAGTCTGAATCCTTTTCAAATTTGTCATGCCCAGACTACAGCAGGTAGTCAAAATGTGCATGGTGCAAACTCAAGACTGCAGCAGAGGGAAAGACAAGAACTAGATCCATTTGGTTCTTCTCTCTCTGAACTGTTTCTATTCCATTTTAAATATTGGTGCCTAAGTTTGTTTTCTTCTTTCCCCCTCAACCTTTTTTCCTTTTGTGCCATGTATTTTAGATTGAAAACTGGCAAGCAAGGATTGTCTTACTTGCTCCTGGCAGCTCTGGGAGATTTTTGAGCTTCAGAGTGGGGCACAATTTTTAAGATAAATAAATATTAGTAAATGTTACGTACTTTCAGAGGCAGGCTACTCATCTTTAAATATGACAATAATTACCTTATGATTAAGCAGAACTGAACACCCTGGCTCCAGCAAATCCTTGTCTACAAAAGAGAGAATGCTGACATAGTGCTCTGATCCCACTGACGTAGACACGATAGCATGATTATCATCAATAATCTCCTCCAGTGTCCCTACAGACATTGGGGTCCCTCTCAGATCATCCACCTTTGATCTCTCTTCCTGCAAACAAAAATAAAATGTAAGTATGCATGGATTGACCATCACCCTGCCAACCTTCTATGTCTACAGTAGAGAAAGGACTGATAGGGCCACATTTGGTGGCAGTCCCTACCTGCAAACAAGGGCCTCAAGCTAATTCCATTATGTTAGAACAGAAAGTCTGCAAATAGGCAAGATAGCAAGAATGTAAAACTGGCAATAGGTTCTGCTTAAGTTTGTGCTTCTTAAAGTCCTAAGTAATCAAGCTTGTTTTATGTCGCCCTATCTTTACCTAGAGTAGGTGAGTCCTGAAGAAACTGAAACTGAGCAATTCTATGAAGACTTACAACACCTTATAGAAATGACACCAAAGAAGGATGTTCTTCTCATTATAGGAGATTGGAATGCTAAAGTAGGGAGTCAAGAGATAAAAGGAACAACTGGCAAGTTTGCCCTTGGAGTTCAAAACGAAGCAGGGCAAAGGCTAATAAGTTCTGTCAAGAGAACAAGCTGGTCATCACAAACACTCTTTTCCAACAACACAAGAGACGACTCTACACATGGACATCACCAGATGGGCAGCATCGAAATCAGATTGATTATATTCTCTGCAGCCAAAGATGGAGAAGCTCTATACAGTCAGCAAAAACAAGACCTGGAGCTGACTGTGGCTCAGATCATCAGCTTCTTATAGCAAAATTCAAGCTTAAACTGAAGAAAGTAGGAAAACCACTGGGCCGGTAAGATACAATCTAAGTCAAATCCCTTATGAATACACAGTGGAAGTGAGGAACAGGTTTAAGGATTTAGATTTGGTGGACAGAGTGCCTGAAGAACTATGGATGGAGGCTCGTAACAGTGTACAGGAGGCAGCAACTAAAACCATCCCAACAAAAAGGAAATGCAAGAAAGTAAAGTGGCTGTCCAACGAGGCCTTACAAATAGCGGGGGGGGGGCAAAGGCAAGCAAAATGCGAGGGAGATAGTGAAAGATACAGGAAATTGAATGCAGATTTCCAAAGAATAGCAAGGAGAGACAAGAAGGCCTTCTTAAACGAGCAATGCAAAGAAATAGAGGAAAACAATAGAATGGGAAAAACCAGAGATCTGTTCAAGAAAATTGGAGATATGAAAGGAACATTTCGTACAAAGATTACCATAATAAAAGACAAAAGTGGAAAGGACCTAACTGAAGCAGAAGACATCAAGAAGAGGTGGCAAGAATACACAGAGGAACTATACCAGAAAGAAATGGATGTCTCGTATATCCCAGGTAGTGTGGTTGCTGACCTTGAGCCAGACATCCTGGAGAGTGAAGTCAAATGGGCCTTAGAAAGCACTGCTAATAACAAGGCCAGTGGAAGTGATGATATTCCAGCTGAACTATTTAAAATTTTAAAAGATGATGCTGTTAAGGTGCTACACTTAATATGCCAGCAAATTTGGAAAACTCAGCAGTGGCCAGAGGATTGGAGAAGATCAGTCTACATCCCAATCCCCAAGAAGGGCAGTGTCAAAGAATGCTCTAACTACCACACAATTGCACTCATTTCACATGCTAGCAAGGTTATGCTTAAAATTCTATAAGGCAGGCTTAAGCAGTATGTGGACCGAGAACTCCCAGAAGTGCAAGCTGGATTTCGAAGGGGCAGAGGAACCAGAGACCAAATTGCAAACATGCGCTGGATTATGGAGAAAGCTAGAGTTCCAGAAAGACATCTACTTCTGCTTCATTGACTATGCAAAAGCCTTTGACTGTGTCGACCACAGCAAACTATGGCAAGTTCTTAAAGAAATGGGAGTGCCTGAGCACCTCGTCTGTCTCCTGAGAAATCTCTATGTGGGACAAGAAGCTACAGTTAGATATGGATATGGAACAACTGATTGGTTCAAAATTGGGAAAGGAGTACGGCAAGGCTGTATATTGTCTCCCTGCTTATTTAACTTATATGCAGAATTCATCATGCGAAAGGCTGCACTGGATGAATTCCCAGCCGGAATTAAGATCGCCGGAAGAAATATCAACAACCTCAGATATGCAGATGATACAACCTTGATGGCAGAAAGTGAAGAGGAATTAAAGAACCGTTTATTGAGGGTGAAAGAGGAGAGCGCAAAATATGGTCTGAAGCTCAACATCAAAAAAACGAAGATCATGGCCACTGGTCCCATCACCTCCTGGCAAATAGAAGGGGAAGAAATGGAGGCAGTGAGAGATTTTACTTTCTTGGGCTCCAGGATCACTGCAGATGGTGACAGCAGTCACAAAATTAAAAGACGCCTGCTCCTTGGGAGAAAAGCAATGACAAACCTAGACAGCATCTTAAAAAGCAAAGACATCACCTTGCCAACAACGGTCCGTATAGTTAAAGCCATGGTTTTCCCAGTAGTGATGTATGGAAGTGAGAGCTGGACCATACAGAAGGCTGATCGCCGAAGAATTGATGCTTTTGAATTATGGTGCTGGAGGAGACTCTTGAGAGTCCCATGGACTGCAAGAAGATCAAACGCATCCATTCTTAAGGAAATCAGCCCTGAGTGGTCACTGGAAGGACAGATTGTGAAGCTGAGGCTCCAATACTTTGGCCACCTCATGAGAAGAGAAGACTCCCTGGAAAAGACCCTGATGCTGGGAAAGATGGAGGGCACAAGGAGAAGGGGACGACAGAGGACGAGATGGTTGGACAGTGTTCTGAAAGCTACAAACATGAGTCTGACCAAACTGCGGGAGGCAGTGGAAGACAGGAGTGCCTGGCGTGCTCTGGTCCATGGGGTCACGAAGAGTAAGACACGACTAAACGACTAAACAACAACAAAGGTGAGTCCTGTGCATCCTTCTCAATATAAATCTATATTGTATTGAGAACCTTGGATGTCATTTTAAATGGCTTTGTTTGTAAACCTTATAAATAGAAGAGCAAGCTAAAAATGTGATGCATTGGATTTTCCTTTCTTTCTTTATCTTTATTTGCCAGACCAATAGCTACTATGGTATACTAAACTTGCAATGTAGTTTCTTTAACACACTACCTGAGAACACCTATAGGGCTTACTCTCTTATGCTTCTAACAGAAAAATGATTATTCTGCTTCATAGCATAGCTTGAGCCAATAGGACGAGGGAAAACTGTGGCCCTCCTAATGTTGCTGGACTACAGTGGATTTTCAAAGTGCAGAAATAACCCACGTCCATTTTGTTCTCTATATAATAAGCACAGTTTCAGAAACATGGCAAGGTCATTCACGATTCTGAACAATTTATTTCGGAACGAGATTTCCTCAGGCAACGCCTGTTTCACTAAATGAATAGAAGAGGCAGAAGGTGGAAAGTATACAAACAAATGGCTTGAGATACAGACTGGAGCAAGTTAATAACTGGAGATGGATAAGCAGAGAGAATCATTTGCCTCTCAACAGATACCTCTTGCTTTTCTTCCAAAGGTTTCATCTGTTCCTGGTTCCTGATGAATTCTTCCTCCATCAAAAGGTAATCTTTTATTCTTTCCAATTTCAACAGTTTGAGTCTGCACTGGGTGTGAGGAGTTACTATAAAGAAAAAGGCAAAGAATAATTTTTTTCAAATTTTGTGAGTGAAGCTCTGGGGAGAACACTGGTATCTTCATTCTGTGGGATTGCCAACTAAATGGGATTTTTAAGCTCTTAAAATTTGCCTGGGTTTCCTGCTTTCTACCCTTAGCTACTACTTTCCTGTGAATGCAGGGGGAGCTATCTTATTCTGAACTGCAGTGAGAAGGAAGATTTCATGTCAAAACTCTTGTGTGGAGAGGAGCCATTATTATTATTATTATTATTATTATTATTATTATTATGACTTATTTTTGAGGGATAAATGTGTTCATTATTTACTTACGTTCGTATATTGCCCAACATCTTAATGTTCTCACACAAATCCCATAAGAGATTTAAAAACAAATAATCACAATAAAATTAGAAGAAATAAAACCAGGGGCAGCAAACCACATAAAACAGCATTAAAAAGCACTAAGAGCACAACTCTAACTATGTCTAACTCAGAAGTCCTACTGAATTTAGGACAGCAGCCTAAAATATTTAATTTCAAAGCAAAAGGATTATAACACAGGGTGCCAGGCAAGCCTCTCTGGAGAGGGAATTCCACAACCAGTACTGTACCACTGAAAATGCCCTCTCTCCAGTAATCACCCACCACCACACCTCATTTGGTGAGCACACTCAGAGAAAGGCCTTTGGAAATGACCTCAGAGTCAAGGTAGGTGTATTTGAAAGGTTGTTTTAATGTGGCTAAAATCTGCTCTGTGCTTCCAGTATTTGCACAGTAATCAGATTATAAAATAAATTCTAAAAGTTGAAAATAACTAGACACCTACAGGCTCGAAGTTCTGGATTCCATGACACAGTAGTAAGCAGATGTTACAAATATAAATGGTTGCCTCATGCCAAATCAAACCGTTGATCCATCTAGCTTTCACTCGGCTTGACAATAGCTCTCTGAAGTTTCAAGCAAAGAGGCCTCTTCTGGCCTTGCTATCTGAGCTTTATAAGCAGAGATGCCCAGGCCTGAACTGGGGCTCTTCTATATGTAACACGTACTCTGTGATGGTCCCTTCCTGAAATATGCACAAACCAGCTGCGCTTACCCAGTGGGAGTTTGCTGGCAGCATCTGGTCCCTTTGTCTTCTTCTTCTTTTTCCCCACTCGAGTTGGAACTGGAGGCTCATATTTCTTCTTCTTATCCTTTTTATTTCAAGAATCAGGTAGAAAGAGTCAGAATGATGAAAGAATTGACCCCAATGAAACCTGTGCAAGAGTTAGCACTGCAGTGTGAAGAAATATGACTGCTGACCAGGGATGGAGACCCGTGGTCCTTCAGATATTGCTGAACTACTGCTTTCAAAACCTTTGACTACTTACTAGTCATGCTGGATAGGCTGATGAGATTTGGAGTGCCACATGTTTCCCCTGGCCTAGACCAGTACAAGGAGAAACACTGAAGCAACTCCAATCTGCAACTCTTACCAAAAATCTGGGAAGCAAATTATTAAAACATAGCTCTCTGATCAATAAACTACAACCACAGGTTCCTGACTGTGTCCTATGTGACCTCCAAAGGTCCACTATAGACAATTTCAAGTCCAGCAAACAGGCTGAGATAACACATCCTCCTCCATGCTGCTGTGATTCTTGGCAACTGGAGCTAATGTTTCACATCTTACTATGTATGGCCTTAGAAATCAAGATCCAGGTGGCTGAAGAAACACAGTGTGCCTCCGAAACAAATCAGAGCATACAATGCTTACAATTTGTCCAAGAGGACTACTACTCAGTTGGCTCCAAACAATAGAAGGCACAAAATGAGATGTTTTAGTTATGCGGTTAGTAAGATTATTTAAATGCTGCTATGGAAAGGACAGAGGAAGTTTATGTTGGTGAAAAACGTGTGTTTAAAAGTTTCTGATTACAAACTCTTGATAATCATTGTAGTACTAATGGATTCTAGATTATTAAATTCAGTATTTTCCTGTGTGTCAATGTAACACAGCGGTGACTGATAATGTTTTATGATTAAGGCATTATCTATATGCAGCAAGTAAAGCCATCTACATCGCAAAAAATGGGGATACTGTAGTACAAATTCAATTACACAATGATACACCCGAGGAAATGCTGCCCAATTAGCACAGAACAGAGTTTCTAAACAAAATTGTATTGCTGCATTTCTCAAGGAATTACAGCTGATAAAAACATTTTTACATTTTCTTACTTTGTCATCCTTCTTGCCACCTCCAGGACCATGTCCACCACTCTGACTTTGACCCTAACAATGGGAACAAACAGAAGATCAAATGGCATACTAAAAGTCAGTCTACTTTACATGTTTGAAATACAGTGGTACCTCGGGTTAAGTACTTAATTTGTTCTGGAGGTCTGTTCTTAACCTGAAACTGTTCTTAACCTGAAGCACCACTTTAGCTAATGGGGCCTCCTGCTGCTGCCACGCCGCTGGAGCACGATTTCTGTTCTCATCCTGAAGCAAAGTTCTTAACCCGAGGTACTATTTCTGGGTTAGCGGAGTCTGTAACCTGAAGCGTCTGTAACCCGAGGTACCACTGTACTGTATAGACAGACGGGCAGGTGTTTGTGTATGTGTTTTCCACACCAGAGACTGGCCTTGGCAGATGCGACTAGTGGCCACATAGGTCTCACTTTAGGCGTCACCACAACCGACGAGCGCCAAGGCCGTCACAGCCTAACGCTTGACAGCGAGCTCCCAGAAGGGGCCCGGATACCTCCGCGACCATCTTCGCCGCCGCAGCGCGGGGGTGGTGGTGGAGTGGGCCCTCGAGGCCTTTAGCCCCGCTCTTCCTTGCTCTCTGGCCCGCCCCCCCCCCCCCCGCACACCATCCACCCCGCCTCAGGTAGGGGGCGGGCCATGACACCGCATTAAATCTGCGAAGCCCATGCAGAGAGACGGAAGCGGCAGGACCCTGGTCCACCTCTCCCTCCTCCTCGCCACCTCTCGGTTTCTCCAGGGGAGGCCCAGCTGCGGCGCCCGCAGACCGAAAAACCCCGGACTCACCGACCTCCCCAACCCGACTCACCATTCTGCTCACTCACAGCCGGCCGCCGGAAACTGAGCGGACCCTTGAAGCGGCGGAAGCGGAAGCGGGCTCGTTACGGGCCGCCGCGAGGACCAAAAAGCATGCGCGAAGCAAGAGCGAAGCCGATAGGGGGCGGAGCCAAGGATTGGCAGGAGCCTATCAAAAAGAAGCCTCCGGGAAAAGGACGCCCGCTTGTTTCTATGGGAACGGGGGAAAGGGCGCCATCGTAGATGTTTCGTTTCCCTGGGGGTGGAGGACGGGTTGTGTGGGTTGCAGTGTGCCCCCAAAGAGGGTATATTTAGAAAAGAAAAGAAAAATGCTTTAAATGAGTTGATCTTGGAAGGGACAGGAAACTTTCTGGAAGAGAGGGGTTGCAATGGAAAAGCTCTTGGCGTTGGTTTGGGAAGAGAAAGGGAATTAACATTTTGATAAATAAAGGATCGACGCATGCTGATTTATGTGCAAAAGTTTGTTTCGGTTTTTTAAAAAAAGGATTTATGTTGAAGTGCATGTTCATATTAAACGTCCTGCTGATGATCTGAAGAAAAATGTGTGCGTGTTGCTGCCAGCACAGTTGAAGGCGATATGATTATAACATGCAATAGTTTTTTTCTGATGCAAAGACAGGAGTAGCCTCAGATTTGAGTCGCTTTCCACGGCCCTGGAGCGAAGTGATCTCTGGTAGGTCCCCTCCTGCATTGGCGCCCACCACAGGGTGGGTGTGGAAAACATGCACACAGTTTTAATTACATAAAATGCCTCATCTCGGAGCAACACTATATTAGGGAAACTTGATAATTCAAATGGTGAATAATTTGCAGATATTATCTGCAGATATACCAGTAGGTTTAGAATTCTGTTAGACAGAGCTTTGAGGTTAAGGATAGGAGAGGCAGAGGGAACACTGCTTTCCTCCTCCTTTCCCTGAGCGTGACCCATACACCTACCACCAATCCAGGGGTTTGAAGAAATCCCTAGAACAGCAGGTATGCGAGGTCCCTGGGGAGAGGAAAGATGGAGAACAGTTGCACAAGCAGAAATCTTTGCACTGATGAAATCTTTGCCTTAGTGCTATGTTAGTCACCAGGGGGCTCTAAAATTAGTTATAGTCCCGGTGGAGTAAGGAGAAATAATTTGTCAAGCTTACTGAAATGTGTGTCCTTTAGCCTTCTGTGACACCAGTGTTGATTCATACATTATAATATTTAATTCCTATTAGTTTTCTCTATTGCCTAGTTTTCTTAGTTGCTACTTAATTAAACCATTATTTTTCTTTTTAAGATTTATACTTTGTTTACCACAACTTGTCTTCCTAGGTTCTTCTTACAGTCTCCCATGGAATTTAAGGAGAAAATAATAATAGTAATTTTATTATTTGTATATATGAAAAACAAGCCTTTTTTGTCTGCTTTAAACCATGGGTAGGCAAACTAAGGCCTGGGGCTGGATCCAGCCCAATCACCTTCTAAATCCGGCCTCCGGACGGTCCGGAAATCAGTGTGTTTTTACATGAGTAGAATGTGCCCTTTTATTTAAAATGCATCTCTGGGTTATTTGTGAGGCCTGCCTGGTGTTTTTACATGAGTAGAATGTGTGCTTTTATTTAAAATGCATCTCTGGGTTATTTGTGGGGCATAGGAATTGGTTCATTATTATTTTTAATATATAGTCCGACCCCCCACAAGGTCTGAGGGACAGTGGACCAGCCCCCTGCTGAAAAAGTTTGCTGACCCCTGATCTAAACTCTCTGTACTTGCAATACTACAAACTGCTTTCAAAAATGTAGGAGGAGAAAAAAATAAGCCAGCAGAGGGCTCTGCATAACTAAATTTCATAAAGTTGATACATTGCAAGCAGAGGCCAAATTCAGGATGGATTTACACAAACCGTGCTCCCCTAAAATGTTTAGGGGTGCTCTCATTTTCCTACTCATATTGAAATACTGCCCCTCAATGAGGCCAAACTTAGATTCACAAATTGTTTATGGGTATGCATACCCCTGCGTACCCCAGAAAAAAGCACTGCATAAACCTATTGATTGGCTGCATTGTCACAGTAGTTAATAAAGATCACTCCTTCGCTCCGTTGTAACCCAAGAAATATTATGCCTCTGGCACAAATGTTACTTAAGTAGGAGGATTTGTGCCTTTCATGATATGTCAGAATGGCCTCAGACTAGTTTAGTCAAGAAACTAAACTCCAACAATATTACATAAATGGGTATTCAGGCCTTGCTCACACCCCTATTTTGATGGAGATAAGCATGATCTGCAGCCTGATTCTATGAATTTACTTGGAAATATTTATATGGTGCCATCAGTGTACAACTTTCTACCTGGCGTAACTGATTAATAAAGGATAGCAAATGTAAACTGTGAGGCTACAATTCCATAAAATCATAGAATTATAAAGTTGGAAGGAACTTGAAAGTCATCTAATCCAACTGCCTGCAACGTGCTGGATCTGCAATGTCAGATGCATCTGCATCATCCCTTGCAGATGGCTGTCCAATCTTTGGTTAAATGTCACTCCAAAGAGAGCCTCCCAAGGCAATTACTTCCATTGTTGGGCAGCTCTTACCATTAGGAAGACATACCACTTTAAAAGAATATTTTGTTCCCGCTGGAAATTGGTCCTTGTGTGTAACTTCATTCAGTATCGCTAAAGTGCACCTGTACTGAAGCTTTGCACTTACATCCTGACATTCCTGCTTCTTGTGAACATCCAAATCTCTTCCAAAGGAGAGTAATCAGGGCAATTATGCTAAAGCTCTGGGGACAGCTCACACACAACCATTTGCATTTAGAGCACATGCTAGAGAAGTTGTATTTTGCCTTTTCAGAGTGACCATGTTACTCAGCATGCTTACTTGAAAGTACACATTCCTCTGAGATCAGCAGGACTTACCTCCAAGTACATGTGCTTAGACAAGGCAAGGCATGATTTGCACCATGCTCCTCTTTACTGAAGAACAGAGATTTCCTGTTTAATCTGCCAATTTTGCTGGTAAAAAGTATATATGCCAACTTCAGGGTGGGTGTGGAAGCCCTGCATTATCATCATCATCATCATCATCATCATCATCATTTTGCAGTATCTGTTCCTGCTAAATCTGAAAATGGCATGAAAATATTTGCTTGCTGGCTAGGTGGCCCTAAGGAAATATAGCCAGACAGTAACTATTTTTATATCTGAAAACTGGCTGTCTTGAAGAAACAGTTGAAATACTGTGTGAAGGATAAGGGAAAATAGTTTTGATTCCTTATGACTACAGGAAGACAAAGCTAACAGGATATTGTGTGACTAAGCAGATCTCTTGCTGAGAGTCATGTTTAGTCTTGCCCTGCAGGGACACCACAGGGGCATTGAACACTACAAGGGACTGTTGATGAAGACAGGCATGCTCTTTGGTCCATGATTTAAAAAAATGTTGCTTCCTGTCTAATAGCTTAGCCTTCCAACAAAGCTCTGATGGCCAACCTATGATATTGACTAGGGCCAGCACTACCAATAGGCAAATTGAGGGAGCCACCTGATTCACCATCACCTGTCGGGGAACCAGCCCACCAGGTGCGGAGGAAAATAACGAAGAGTCATGGGTGAAGGTTTAAGCAAGGAGTGAGCTCTGTCCCCCAGCAGCCTTGCATGTTTATTAGCCTTGCGCACATTACATCATGTTGCATATACACGTGTAGCACTCGGGTGGAAAACAGCTAGGGTTTGCATTTCTTAGAATAACTATTCTCTACCAGGACATAACTCCAGACAGCATGACAGCCTTGCGGTTAGGCAGCGACAGTGACCCAGGCGTGTGGGGGGAACAAGTCAACAGAGTCAACAGATGTTTCCTCTTGCACAATCTTGCACAAGGGTGTTGTTTTTTCTATTGCACCCCCACATGCCCTCCTTTTTTATTATTTAATCAGAGTCATAAATTTCATTGCGAAAGCGCGTGTATCGGGCAACATATTCTCGGCGGGGGACACCTAAGGAAGTGCGTCGTGAAGACCACCACCCCATACATTGGGTGATCAGCGAGGAACACATTGTATGCAACAACAAATACACACAAATCCTATAACCAATCCTAAGCCTATTAGCAATAAATGACGAAACCAAAATCCGTCAGGAAGCCAGGAAAAAAACCATTCCCAAGAGTCAGGAATGGGAGGATGTGAGATCGGATTTTGTTTAACCATGGCTTCCATTTCATTAATAGTTGTAGAAATACTAAGATTATAATCTTTTATATACATACAGCAGTGTGATAACACTAACCCACACACCCCTCCCTTGGAGGCCAAAATGGTGTCCAAAGCATAGCGATTCTGCAGGGTAACCTCACGAATATGGGACATTTCTTGGTTAATGACTTTCAAGGCTTTTATAGTTGCATTGAATAGCCCTTCTGTCCAGTTGGAGAGTCTGTGGAGGTCCCTGTAATTCATGGCAACACCAAGAGGGGGCAGAGCAGCCCTAGCAATTGCAGTTTCAGCATAATGAACTATAGGAGCGTTAGCATCTCTCTTATTGCGAAGCCGAAGCGAAGAAATATTGTCTAACTTATAAATCAATGGAACTACAATACCAAGGGTGCAAATCCCTGAAAAACTTTTAGGAATTTCCTTATAGGCTTTACGTCCGCAGAAAAGCCAAAGATCATTCTGTAAAACCATGGATGGCTTACTACTCTTTTTCATCCACCATATCCATCCATCAAAATCATTGCACATTGCATGCTGGCCCCATGTCATACGGTGGGTAACATTCCCTATAACTACTGGTGGCCTTCCACTGCGTGTGGTTGTGTTCAAGAAACAAGAGGAGGTATTGACATATTCATAAGTCCAAGCACAATTAGGGTAGTTCCCTAGAAATACAGATGTGTTATGTTTAAACTTAAAACACCTATCTGCTGGTTCTAACAAGGTCAATACCACTGGTGGAAAACGTGTGCGGTTAATCTTGAGATTATTACTTATCTTAAAAGAATCATTAATGGGGATGCCATGCAACAATATGCCAGAGCGTCGAACCTGTGGAGGAATGTGCATACAAATCCAACAATTAGTATAATTCAAAATCTTT